GGTTTAGTGGGCATGGTTGATGGTTGGACTCAATGATCTTAAAGGTGTTTTCCAACCTAAATGATTCTATGATTCTGTGACTTTAGCTGCAAAATTAACTAAACCAGGGAGACATACATGGGTCACCTGTCTTCCTGTATGAGTAACAAGTAGGTGCTGGAGGGTGGAATGGAGACATGTTAACGACCAGTGATTACAGACACACTTTTACAAATCTCTGTGAAATCACTCATTTGTTTAATAGAAGCATAGAGTATAAATCGCAAGTAACTTAGTAATGCTAAACCTAACAAAGATGTCCCTAGAGAGAAAGAGCAATAGTTATCCCCGTAATGCTGAAGGTGTATCTTCTCTTGATATTACAGAGTTGTGGTGGGATTTTTGGGTTTGGTGGTTTTTGTTCCCCCTGCCCCCACCCCCCTTCCTTTAGCAAGTGTGTGTCTGTGAGGGGGGGATTTGATCTGGTTTTTCAGTGCTGGATTTGGGCAGTAGAAGGGCTTCATGGAACTCCTTGGTCACAAAGTAGTAGCAGATGCTATCCAGGCAGCAGTTGGATGTGGCAATATACCTTGTCACGGAGGAGAAGTTCTTCATAACCTGGAGCAGGAAACAGGTAGCTCCGATTCTCTCCATTATGAACCTGCCAAAGTACCCCAAGGTAGGCTGGCAGAAAACATATTAGAAATACAATCAGATCTGCATAAATAATGTGAACAGCTTTCTGGATTAATTTCTGCTCTGGTGAATTTGTGTTCAGATGTTTCTTAAGGTTCCTGATTACTTCCATGGAGCAAAAAGTCAAGATTCCTAATGGAAGAGTAAAAATGAAGAAAATGGAAAGCAGGCCCAGAGTAGCGGGTGCGGTGGTGTCCTTCTGAAAGCAGAGAGTGGCATGTCTCTGCCAAAGCTGTAAGGTGGCACCGATTATCACGGAGACCCACAGAAGCCCACAGAGAAGGGCAGCCTTTGATGGAGACCTGAAGGCCCTGGCTTTCAAGGGGTGCTTTATAGCAATGTATCGATCAATGGAGATAAATAAAATTGTGTAGATGCTCACTACCATATTGATAAAATACATTGCTTCTATAAACTGGCAGAGTTCATCTCGGGTTGACTTATTCCAGAGCAAATAAGCCATGGAAGGCAAGGTGCAGATGACGAAGCAGTCTGCGAAGACTAAATTGATTACATACATCCTGGTTTCTGTCCACTTCTTTATCTTGCAGAAGAACACCCAGAGGGCAACAGCATTAAATAGTGCTCCAAAAAAGAAAATGAGGTTATACAGAACAAATTCAAGGAGACGAACATGGTGATACAGTTCTAGATTTGTGACACTGCAGTTGTTGGAAACATTCATTGTCCTGATGTGTAGATGTTATATGATATTCTGAGACCTGAAATGGGAAAAGACATGGTAAGACTTTCCTCCTACCTCTTAACAGATGCATGGCTCCTATAAAAAAAAGTATTTAAGTAAATATTTACTTTGTTATGAATGTGAATTTGAGTCTACAAAGCTGGCTTTCTCAGTCAGCCTGTAACTGGGATGCATCGTTTGTCAAGTTTTGTTTATGTTTACTCAGTTTATGCGTAAATATCTCGAGGTACACTTCCAATACGACATGGCAGAGAGCTTTTATTAAATAGGGGGATCTTGAATGGGGGTGCAGAAGAGCACTTAGAAGAGCCCCCATAGATAGCGGGGGCATCCTGTGGCAATGTGGACACTAATTCCTTAAGACAGGCTGTGCAAACAAGGGGAAATTACCCTTAGCTTGGTTTTGGGCTAGGCAGAGATTGCAGCAACCAAAGCTAAAGACCAGTGCAACCCATGAGCAGAAGCTCTTCTACCAGTTCTGCTGGCTTGGGAGACAGACTAGGGGGGATGAAGGGCTGCAAGGGCATAGCAGATGTTACTTGGTAGGCATCCTCATGCTCTGGCTCTAATTGGGCAGGTTTCTGAGCCTTTGGGCTGCCTTGCAAACCTGGAGCTCCTGCTCCAAGCTGAAGAAAACAGAGGTGAATCTGAGTTCCTGCATCCCAAAGGTGTGCTTGAAACCCTAAGGGAGTGAGTGAGTCATGTGCTCTCCACTTCCTTGGGAAGGGAATGGGGGGTGGAAGGATTAACCTGATTTTAAGCCCATTCATTCCAGGAGAGAGTACAATTCTGCAGATGTAAAGCAGAAAGATGCACCTGAAAGAGGAAACACCAGTGCAAAACAAGGCACTTGCCATTAAGGGCTACATTAGATGGTTCCTGTTCAAGGCAGGCATCCTGCCACCCTGGGAAATCCATGAGATGCAAGTAGTAGGTACTGAGCCTCTGTCACACTGGCTACTAGATGTTTCGCAAGAGTATTGGTTGTGTGAAGAGTGTGAGTTCATGGGCTGATAAAAATCAGCTTTCATCAGACCCCATCCTGTGCAAAGTGGCTTTATGAGATGTGCACTCAGAACAATTCTCTGAACTGATGATTCTGTGTATATGTCACTGAATTTCTGCTTGCATCTAGATGCACTTTGGAAAGAATTTAACCTTTTAATTTAAAATAAGGTTTTTTTACCACTCTAATGGGAGAGTGATGAGGGATCTGGTGAAATCCTATAGCTTTCAAAGATCTAGGAAGGGACACCATGACTGAACATGCCTGGTTAAGCAGTTATTTGCCTTAGCAAGCAATGCAGACCTTGCGAGGGCACTGCCTGCAAAATCAGACTTCAGTTCTGAAGTAACTGATAAACACACAAATAACTCAGTTGCTGGGGGGATATGCAAGTGTCTTGGGCACTAGGAGACTCCTGTGTAGAGCTCTCTTCCAGTTCTTGTGTGCACAGGTGTGGGTTTCCCAACAGAAGCTTGCTGCCTGCACCCTGGAAGGAAGCTGACAGCTGTCACCCAAGGAAGAACTCTCTGAACTGCAGTAAGTAGCAGCAGGGAGCTGCCACATCATTATGCTTACTAACTGCATGCGGCAGATGTCTTTGCTGGCATGCCCAGGTTGCTTTTCATTTGCCCTGGTCTACAACGCCAGCAGCAGGCTCTGTGCTGAAGTACAATGCAGGCAAACCACTCTGGTGGCTCAAGCTTGGGGGTGAGAGCACGCAGGCACTGGTGTGGTGAGTGAAGGGTGGCAGGATGCTGACATGGGCCAGGTGTCCCTGGCTCGGGAGGCACTAGGTGGCTTCAAGCAGAGGAAGTGCTGCAGCACAGCTGTCCAGCAAGGCTATGCAGGGGAGAGGACCTGACAGAAGGTCCTGAAGATAAGACCCACTGGCTCTGCTCCACTACAAGGCTTATGCACCCTGCAGCCACCCTATAACCACAGAGATGCGCGTGCTGATCACAGTCCTCAGGAGGCAACCAAGCATCCAAAGCTCCCAGGTTTGACTGTCATGGACGACAAACCATCAGTGCATAAGGTAGGAGCCACGTAAAATGTCTCTGAACCACATGCTGATAAGACCCTCAGATACCATCTGGCATTTGTGAGGTGCTGTGGCAGAAGAGAGAAGGGAAGCGTGCTGTTCTGAAACACTGCAGTGGTTCTTTGGGTCACAGCACGGAAGAGGGACTGGAGTGTCACTGCAGGTGTTTGAGGCCAGGAAAAAGACATGTGTGAAGAGAGCCACAAAGACTGTGGGAGCTGTTTGCGTGTGGTAGCTGCAGCTGCATTTCCCAAACAGAGGCTGATGCTTTATTTTTGCCTGAGAGCCCAGGATGATGGCCTTGTTCACAAAGTGGTTGAGGTTGGAAGGGACTTTTTGAGGTTTATTCCAACCCCTTGCTCAGTGCCCATTGCCCGGGGCCATGTCCAGTCTGGTTTTGAATGTCACCAAGGATATCTCCACAAATTATCTGGGCAGCCTGTTCCAGTGTTTGATCACCCTGAGAGTAAACATTTTTTCTTAAGTTTAAATGGACTTTACTGTATTTCAGTTTGTGCCCATTGCCTCTTGTCCTCTCAGTATCATTGCTGAGAAGGGCTCCATCTTATTTACTCCCTCCCATTGGGTGTTTATACACATGGATAAGATCCTTGCGAGTCTTCTTTTTTCCAGGCTGAACAGTCCCAGCTCTTTCAGCCTCTCCTCATATGAGAGATGCTCCAGTCCCTTGATCACCTTTGTGGCCCTTCCCTGGACCTGCTTCAGCAAGTCCATGTCTTTCTTGCACTGGACACAGCAGTCCAGATGTGTCTTGCCAGTGCTAGGTAGAGGGGAAGGATCACCTCCCTTGACCTGCTGGCAATGTTCATGCTAATGCAGCCCAGGATGCTGTTGCCTGCCTTTGCTGCAACAGTGCATTGCCGGCTCATGGTCAGCTTGGTTTCCACCAGGATTCCAGGTTCTTCTCTGCAAAGCTGCTTCCCAGCTGGTCAGCCCCAGCCTGTACTAGTGCCTGGGGTTGTTCCTCCTCAGGTGCAGGACTTTGCACTTCCTCTTGTTGAACCTCATGAGGTTCCTGCCAGTCCATTTCTCCAGCCTGTCAAGGTGCCTCTGAACGGTGGCACAACCCCCTGGTGTATCAGCCACTCTCCTCGGTTTTATATGATCTGCAGACTTGATGAGGGTGCACTCTGTCCTAGCGCCAGGCCATTATTGTTTGGCATCTTCATTATTTGCCCCAGTCTTGACCTCCAAGGGACTCCACTAGGGACTGGCCTCCAGCTGGACTTCGTACCTTGGAGCTTGGCAGTTGAGCCAGTTTTCAGTCCACCTCACTGTCCATTTTATCTAGCCCATGCTTCATCAGTCTGTCTCTGCATGTATTAAGGGAGACGGTAAGGCTTTCAACACTGTTGAGATAAACAACCTCCACTGCTCTCACTTTATCCACCAAGCAAAGTCATCTCTTTAGAGGCAGCTATCAAGTTGGTCAGGCATGATTTTGTAAATCCAATCACCTTCTTGTCCTCACTATGCTTTTAAATTGTTTCCAAGAGGATTTCATCCATCTCTTTCCCAGGGATCAAGGTGAGACTGACTGTCCTGGAGTTCTCTGGATGCACCTTCCTGCCTTTCCTGAAGTTAGGGGTGACATTTGAGTAAGTCAGCAGTGTTAAAGGGAAGAGCACACTGTGAGTGCCAGCTCACATGCAGACCTGGCTGTAAAAGGAGAGGAGATGGGCAGCAGTAGGAAAAATAAAAGGAGCAGGCTAAGCTTTCCTATGGAAGATGCCAGCTCCACCTCTTTGTGCTGCTATACAAAAATCTGGGTGCAGTGGCTGGGACAGGAGCAGTTTCAAATAGAAACGCTGCACTGAGTGGGCTTGCTGCAGCCCCTCGAAGCTGCAGAGTAGATGCACTGACTGAGGGGAAGCACAAAGGCAGGGACACCCATCTTCCAAATAGGTAGACAAGGTTTTGAACTCTGAAATGCTAAGTGGACAAAAGCCACAGACGAGAGGGGAAGGGAGCAAATACCTCCCTGGGGCTTTGCAAAGGGTGATGCTTCGGGGTGGCAGGATGCTTCAGTGTCTGATGGTGTGGCATGATGGAAATGCTGCAGTGGAAACCATTAAAGCATGGTGCTTTCCCTTCCAAGGGAGACTTGTTGACAAGTGTGTGTGTGTCTGCAGAGTGTGAGACAACATCGAGATGAGTCACACGAGTGTCAGCTCTGCGGAAATGCAGCTGTCAGCCCCGGGAGCCAGACTGTGCCTTTCTGAGAGCCTGTTGCCAGGGACCTGCGCCACTGCAACGGGGCCAGACACCCACTGTGGAGAGAGGCTGTTCCCCCATCATGGCTGTGCAGGTGAGCTGTCACCCAGGCAGAGCCAGGGAGTTGGAGCCTGTCGAACCCCTGCAGAGTGGCTCTTGCACACCCCGTTGCAGGTGGAGTTGTGCAACAGTGGGGCACCAGGGTCGGAAAAGGTGGCAGCACTGGGTGCTGCCATGGGGCAGTGCAAGGTGGCAGCTCAGCCCCATGCACTGCCTGCATGAGCTGCCAGGGTGGCCCCACAGGCAGGGTGCCGGCCAGGGGGATGCACAGACAGCATCGCGAGAGTAGTGGAAGGGGCTGAGTGTGGCCTTTACCACGCTGAGGCAGAACTCCTATGTGAAACACGCCAGGCAGTTATGAAGGTGTTTCAGACCAGGTTTGCCATGGCACACATATGCAGTGCTACCACCCCGGTGTGTCTCATCTCATCCTCCTGCTTCTCTTCATCACAGCTCAGCTCACTTTCCAAACCTACCTGTCACTTAAACAGATGCAAATGCCTTTGTGTAAGGGGACTTCTGTCTCAAGACTGTCAAGTGTGCCCCTGATGCCGACATAAGCCTTCCCAAGCAGTACTCCGGACTGGCAGCACAGCAAATTATTGTGTTGAAAAGTGTCTAGTGGGTCATAGGAAA